AAAAAAAAAAAAAAAAGACCAGGTTTGCTGGTCTGATGGAGCCTGGTGCGACCCCCGAGACTATGGCCCCTAGTCCTCTTCAAGTCTGGAACTGAACTCACTCCTGTGCCTTCCAGCCAAACAACAGACAGGCATATGAGGTGAACATTTACATCAGGCAGATACTCTCCTTGGAGCGATGAGTCACGGGAGAACAGAAGGGCCGTGTGTGCACAGGGAGACAGCTCAGGGGCGGGGTGCATGGAGGGAAGGACACGGGGAGGCGGTGACTACAGGGAGGCGGTGAGGTGGGAGAGAGCTGTTCCACTGTGGGAAACGCAGTCAGTGTCATGAAACAAAATGTGTATGAACAGCTGTGTGGAAAGTGAACCTGCTCTGTAAACTTTCCCTCGAATCACAATTAAAAAAAAAGATGGCAGCCAGTAGACCGTATGGAGCCCTTTCACTCTGTCCCACGTGGGGTCACCATGCGTCAAAGTTGGCTCAATGGGAGTGAGCCCCAACAACAGAACTGGGGGCTCAGGAGGCTCGGGCTTGTGGTGGCTTCTAAGAATAGCTGTTGTGTCTAGAAGCCCCACCGGCCACGGCCAGGAGCCGGTGTGGGATGTCGGGGTGCCAGTCGAGCAGTGGCCTGGAGCCATGCTCAGCCAGCACGGGAAAGGCAGCTGGGAGGGGGGCGTCATACCTTCCAGGGGCCGTGGGCGATCCCAAGTCGTCATATGCAGGTGATACGATTGTAAGCCTAGAAAACCTGAGAGAACCGTGGGTATCTCGCTGACCCTTAAGAGAATTGTCTTTGCAGCAGAGGTACCACTGACAGACACACATCAGTAGTCTTCACACACACACAGCAACTGTGAAAAGATACGATGCCCGGGAATAAACATAACAGAAATACTGCATTCCTGTTGGGGAACAATTTAAAACATTCTTGAAGGCAAGCAAGCAGACAGACTGAAAAGCACACCACGGTTTTGGAAAGGGAGATTCAGTATTATAAGGTGATCAGTACTCCCTAAGTAAATCTAAAATTTCAACATCATTCCGATAACATGCCAGCTTGGAACTACCAAAGATGATTTTAAACTTTTATCCAGAAAAATCAACAAGCACGAGGAGCTGAGGAAATTATGAACAAAGAAGGGGTTCTGACTTTCCCAGCTGTGAGAGCATTCCGTGGAGAGCCAGTAACTGAAAGCATCGCAGTGGCCTGGGGTGATGCAGCCAGGTATAAGGGACCTAAGAGAGGGACGCAGCCAGGTGTAAGGGACCGAAGAGAGGGGA